ACGTACACACGTACGCACGCACGCACGCACGTATACGTGCACACGCACGCACACACGCACGCACGTTTACGGGTAAACGGAAATGCATAAGTAGCGCAATCTAGCGGTGATAAAACGGTAATAATCGCTATCAGGGGTTGTCGTGTAGACGCTACATAATCGCTAACTCGAGTTAACGCTTAACTCGAGTTAGCGTAACTCGAGTTAAGGTTCGTCGTGTAGACGAGGCTTATATATCCACTTTGCAATTGCTACAAATAGCACTTTATTCACAATTAGAATCGCAAGGAAAGCTATCATTTAGTACCGGACTCCTCGAGTTGGTCCCGATCACACACCAAAAATGTGATTCGATTGTAGTGACGATTCACTAAGTCCCGGTACATTTTCAAGGTGGAGCTTGTTCGTCGTTCCTGCTCGCCACCCCCTGCTGGCACGTCTGTTACTGGCTCGAGATGTGTATAAAGCAGTCCATCCATCGACATCCTCCACTTGTGAAAACAGTTGTTTTTAGTCAATACGGCAATTATTTCAAGGATTATTATTAAACAAGCACAATATTATAAAATGAAAATTGTTTACTTCTAACGTAATATACGATATATATACACATAATACATAATATGAAACCCCTAGAGAGATCCCCTATTATATTACTCCTGATACTATTAATGCACTCTAGTAAACATAGGAAAGATTAAAACCTTGTCAGTTCTTGCAGCAATGGTAGGGCTGCTTGAGTTATTTCGCGCGCTGAGGCAGACAATACAACTTCAAGGCCAATTGTTGTGCCTCTAAGTCTCTTTAAGGCTCCACCGCAGGCATCTCTTTCGCCTACGCCGACATTGATCTATGGCCATAGAAAGTAAATCTTCAATGAACACGATGGCCATAACCATCAACAGTTATTAGACTAGATCTGTAAAACAACATGGACCAAAAAATGTCAGTAATAGCCTTCTATTTAAATATATCACCTTAACATAATCTATCTTTGCCCTCTTCACTTTCGACGGGAAATGTGTTCTTCTATTCTCTTGTGCTCGTCGTTTGTGAGCAGCAAACACTGCAAATAGTGTATAAATATAGCACATTGTTATTTAACAATACCGTTGTAAATGGTTTTCCGTAAAATAAACCACCTGGTTTAGAACGAGCAAACATACATTTTATGTTGCTTGTTCTTCCTTTTATGCAAGTGCCAAAATTTATACTGGAAATTAATATTCTGATAATAAGATGTACACGTTTGCAAACTATTGCCACAGAAAACACTGATGCACACATTTATCACAACCTCTTGTCGTCAAGTCTGCTAAAACCATAACCTAATTATGACAAACTTTAACTTACCATCAGCGACTCTGCTAGTGCTTGGCAGAGGTTCTAGCGGTGTTCTCTCTAGGGAAACATAGAATATTGTGATTAGCACGTACAAACTGCTGTCCAGTATAATACAGTAGCAGCATTCCCTGACGATTAAGTTATAGCCAAATTGGTGTTATAGTACAGTCGGTTAGGTCAGAATATCATCTAAATCGTTCAAATTGTGAAAAAAGTGTGAAAATTGGTACACTTGCATACTTACTGTTAGACGGCCGAATAATGCCCAGATCCAACATATGGTTAAATTCGTCGCGTGCGATTTGAAGTTTGTCCCCAGCTAGCCTGCGCGGACGTGCTGCAACAGGGGGTCCGTTTGTTTCGATGTGATGTGTTACATCGTGCCTTACGTCGTCGGAATGATATACCGGACGGGTTATATCCACGAATTCGCGCATGAGTATGTGCTCAAACGTGTTGTCGGAATCTCGGTCTCCGTAGACCGGGCTGACGGCGGGACAATCGGACGGCGTGCCAATGACTGACAAGCTGGTCAGCGGGTCGACGAGTCGACGTTTGTTGACATCGACCAAGAAATGAAAATGGTGCAAGAAATCCGCGCCTATGATCGGTGTAGGGACAGTCGCGATAGTGAATATCTAGCGGCATGTTCGACGCAGGCCTAAATCCAGGGTCAAAGAGCGTTGGCCGTATGTGGGAATGGGCGTCCCATTCGCAGCTTGCAAGTTAAGCGCGCAAGCATTCCCCTTCTCTTGCTTAGAAGGCGGAAAAACGCTCACTGCAGCGCCAGTATCGACCAAGAATTGCCTGCGAGAATTAACATCGGTGATGTAAAATAGGCGACTGCAGTGCGCACCAGTGCGGGTCGTCGCGCCTACCGACTGGCCTTGCCGTTTTCCGACAATTCGGACGATCGCGCGCATGGAGATCGGCATCGGTTGGCTCTATCTCCAAATCGTTCATGGTAGTAACACAACGCATTGGGATCAGTGTGTGCAGTCCCACTGGCGCGCGATGGCGACTTACCGCGACCACGACTATAGTTGCGCTGTGATCGGCCGACCTGTACTTGTAAGTCGCGCACCATCTTGAAAAGCTTACGGATGTCTCGTAAGTCTTCGTTTGAATCGGGGGCTGTTGCTGTGGCAACCTGTGCGACAACCGGGTTTTCCCTCGGCGCGGCAAAAGACAGGGCGGTTGCTTCGGCCGACACCATCCCTATGGCTGGGACGTAGACGTCAATAATTTTGTCCGCGAGTTCGGCCAGGTCACTCAATGAGAGCGAGTCGCTTGTTGAGGCAAGAATCAAACGAACGTTCGCAGGCAACCTTTGTAGAAAAAGTTGCTTCAGTATGCCCTTGTCGATTTTTTGTTCGCCAACAAGTTGTTCCATGCGGCGCAAAAGCTGCGACGGTTTGCGGTCACCCAGCTCTTCCTCTGTAAGGAGCATTTGGACGCGACGCTGCTCCGAAGCGGTGGTGCGCAAAATCATCTGCTCTTTCAGGATTGAATATGGCCTTGTAGCCGGCGGATTCAGCAGGAGATCGCGCACCTCCTGTGCGATTTCGGGTTGAAGTACCGAGATGACATGATGGTACCGGGTGGCCTCTGCAGTAATTTGCCGCGTGGCAAATTGGGCTTCCGCTTGCGCGAACCAAATTTGCGGGTCACTCCGCCAGAACGGGGGAAGCTTTATGCTAACGGCCCCCACGACCGGAGTAGAACTCCCAGTTGTGCCACCGCGGAGCGTTTTCTGGTCAGACTCGTTGTCAGACATGACGGTTAACAAAAATTACGCGCGCGTGACACGACCGGGTCCGATGAGGCAAGTTACAAAAACTAATCAATATTGCCTAATTACCCTCGTGAGATCACGTCGGGGTCACCAATTTGTGGGAGAATGTAGGTTCTTTTGTTTTTTTTGGTTGGATATATTTGCTTATATTGTGTTTATCCAAACACAAACATCATGCACCAACCCACATCTGCACGTGCGTGTTCTACAACCTCCACCTTTTTTTGAGTGACCTCACAAGAATAACTTAAGCAAGACTGTGTGGTAATTTCTAGTATGTTTATTACGGCCCTATTCAGAAATTACTTTTGTATAAAACAAAACAAATCACAAAGCAATGTAAACCCCAGAACAAAAATGGCTCTGTTTATAATGCGGAAGGCCGCCGCAGTTTTAGCGAATATGCAAATGGAGTAACTAGTCCAAAGTCGTTGAAATAGTCTGTGACGATGCGGTTGACGCCGGTCACGACGAGTAGAATGACCGGGATGAAAACACAGCCCTCCGCAAAACGGTTTACACGGCCGTCGACCAGGAACAGGGCTGAGCGGCGTGGAGGTGAGCGGTACCTGTAAGCTGCCGGGCGTCGAGAAGACGGGCGGGCACAAATCCTTTATGCCCGGGTTTGTCGCTCAAATAAAATCCTCTTCATAAGCCAGGCTATTCACTCCTGACACTGTTGTGCGCCACCAGCGGTTGCAGCTATCTGTTAGTCCGTAGTTTCGGCGCAGCATTTAAGTTGAATTCGTTGGACAGCTACGTGGTTCAACTGACACTATCCCACTCACACTTGACGTGTCCCAAAAACCAAAATGTCCAGCCACCTACTCGTCCACTCCACTTTTTTTTCTTATTGGTCGTTTACATCACGTGACTAATGACATGCATATAATATAGTGCATGATTCGACAACATATAAAACACATCATGAATATACATATAAACATTATCATAAAATCATCAAACAGCAACAGGAACAAATACACAGATTTATCCATCCACAAATTTAGGAACAAAACAAACATGACATTTAATGAGAAACATCCTGAGACGCTACACATACATTTCGCCCTAGGCTGGCTAGTATCAGGTATAGTAGGCGGTATACTGTATATTCATTTTTTTCATGGGGTACCAATTTTCGTTGATTGCGTGGGTCTATGTGTGGGTCGAAATTACGAAAATAAGTGACTTTACAGTAGTAGGCTACTAGGCTAGTATAGTAGTACTAGTAGGCTAGTATAGTAGCCTTACAAGAAATGAGGTTCGAATCCGAAACTCAACGCGCCACCCAACAAGCCAAAAGAAACACGAACAGGGTTCACAGCAGTCAGATAAGCAGGAAGCCACAACAATCAAAGGCTCAATTGCCAGGCACAAAAACCACCGAAAGAAAACGCGAAAATACCCAAACACCATATCCGTAGAAAGAGTAGAGGAAGAATAGTGGAGGAAAGTAGAATCTGCATGAAGAACATGACTGGAATTGAGTTCGGATAACGGGACAGGCAGCTGGGACAGCTGGAAAGAAAATCGATGAAGAGGACTGACAACAAAGATACATGCAAGATCCTGGACTTCCTACCTCCAGAGATAGGGACTCCATCTTGCGCAGGTTTTCACAAGGATTGCAGAATCCAGGCTAGGAAAGACGTTCACGCACTCCAAAAAGAACAAGTGACTGTGCTTGCAGAGCTGGCGAGAAATAAAAAAGCCACGTCAAAGCTGGGAAGGACGGCACAGCCTCTTACTCAGCACTCTTGAAAACCAGCACTGGGAAATTTGAAAAAATTAGCAATGACCTGGCTGAAGCTAAATCATGATTTGCCGCTAAAAAAAAAGAAAACTTCAGAGACAAGGAAACAAGGCTCAACTAGATCGTCAATTCCAACGCCATCAAGTGACACATATTGAGTGCTCTCAGATGTCGGCGATTAGAATCTCGGATCTCAAATGAAAGCGAAACCTATAAAACCCAAAACGTGAAGAACTATTGATTATCTGGTCACGCGCACCAAATTGCTTAGCGTCTGCTGGGATGGATATACGCTACGTAGACAGTGGAGACGCTAAGCGTTGTATAAACAGTGAAACAACTATAGGTTTATTCCTATAACACGGACATAGCAACATGTGTATACACATACAAGGTGATGGTCCGGCGACCGTCTCCCGTTTCTCCAAAACTCTCTCTTTTAAACCGTTGCGCGCGTTCGTCGCCCTACAGATTTCTGATTTTGTCGGCACGGCTAGTGATCACAAGGACCGGTCAGCGACGAACGTCTGCATTATTTGGGGTTCAATTGCTCTCTTTTGACCAGTTGTCGGACTGTCAATAAAGTGTCGCTTACTGAGCTGCCTGCGTTGACAACTTTCGCTCGTTCTAGGGTCGGGCCGAGCCAGTTACCTGTTCGGTTCCCCTGGCCCCGTACTCTTATTAATGTTCTGGTCGGCGTATGCCGTCCGTGACGTTAATTGACTATGCCCTTCTAAATATGTCGTCGCACTCCGCCGTTCTTCCGCTGAAACGCGATCGTATGTGCCCGTTCCACGGTCCACATGTCTGCATTACAGATCATGCTCAGCCTCACGTAACACTGATTTTGTTAGTATGTCTTGTTTTCCTTACATATAAATATATATATATCTAATATATAATATATAATATCATATAGCATATAACGTGCAGTAGAACGTAATTAGTAACGAAATACAACGGTTTATTAACGTATTTGTGTCGGCGTTTTTTTAACGTTATCAGAACACGCTTCAAGTAACGTTTTAATTTAAGTAAAACAAGAAATAATAGTAACGATAAATACAAACGTTATATAAAGGCGACAGAGCGCTCTAGGATTTTACTGCAATACAACTGTACTTACTGTATAACAACAATCGTCTATACCCACACGTATTTATTACAGGCATACATAATTTAATTGTTATAATTAATCTACACTCAAACAGCTGACTAAATTTGAACGCGCCATGACTACTTCCGCTGACCGTGCTGCCACCCAAAAAAGCTTGAGTATTTGACAATTTTTATTTTAGCCCACGTTACAGAACGAGTGCGCTAATCACCAGTCAATTATAATTATATTACCTAAATACTATTTAACCGAACGGTATTCATTTTTAGGGCAAATTTTATCCATATTATAACTGACGATATTATGTCGTTTATAGTATTAAATCATTTGCTTTTTTAAATTGAATAAATAAGAAACACCCTCAGTCGTAGCCCTTTGGCTAAAAAGTTGGTTTTGCGCAAACTTATCAGATCGTCCCGTGGTGCGCTTTGAGTCGGCGCCCGGTCGTTGCCAATTTCAAACTGTAGTCGCTTAGTTTTAACCCATAAAAAAAAATATTCTTCTAATTGGCTGGATTGAAACAGGAAACCTATTATGTAGCGATAATTTATAACTAAACTTAGAACTGAAGATAACCTAAACCCCACCCTAGAGTAAACTCTCCTTTAACGTATTGTGTTCTCGGGTTTATTTAACGTTATCAGAACCACGCACAATCACGTTATTTTCAGTTTTTAGTACGTTAGGAAACCGGTATTTACGTTTATAAAAACGTTATAAAAAACCGACACATTTCGTAATGTATAACGTTTGATTGGATTATAACGTTTCCAAACAAACATAACCTTAAATAAACGTTATGTGAACGTTTTTGTGTTAGCTGGGGACATGACCCATTGTGTATTGTGTATTGTGTATGGAGTATGTGTGACGGAATGTCTTCTAGGCTGGGACAGTAGTGTACTTAACTACACTGCCTACTATACGGGCTGAGCGTGCTAGCTAGGAATGACCATTGTGTATTGTGTATTGTGTATGAATGTATTGCTGAGACATGTCTCTTTAGACTAGCGACAGTAGTACTCACATACACTGCCTACTATACGGCTTAGTTAGTAGACATGACCTTGTGTATTGTGTAATGTGTATGAAGTATGCTTGGAGACATGTCTTCTAGGACTGGCCGACAGTAGTACTACATATCACTGCCGCTATACGGTGCTGGCGCACATTACCAAGTACAGGTCGGCGATGCACAGCGCAACTATAGTCTCGTGGTGCGGTAAGTCACGTATCGCGCCGCCAGTCGGACTGCCACACAGCTGATCCAATAGCGTTGTGTTAACTCATGACAACCGAATTTTAGGAGATAGGGCCAAACTGATGCGCCGATCTCCATGCGCGCGATCGTCCGAATTTTCGGAACGGCAAGGCCAGTCCGCGGTAGGCGCGACGACCCGCTACTGCGTGCGCACAGGCATGTTGCCTATTTCCATCATGATGATTAAGTTCTCGCCAAGCAATTCCTGCGTCGATACTGGGCGCTTGCAGTGAGCGTTTTTCGCCTTCCTAAGCAATGAAAGCGGGAATGCTTGCGCTTTAACTTGCCAAGACTGCCGAATGACGCGGATCGCTCCCATTTCCACATACGCGTTCACGTCTCTTTGAACCTGGCATTAGGCCTGCCGCTCGAACATGCCGCGCCTGGATATTCACCTCGCGAGCTGTCCCTACACCGATCGATAAGGCGCGGATTATTGCACCATTTTCATTCTTGCCGTCGTATGTCAACAACGCTCGCAACTTGTCCGACCCGCTGACCAGGCTTGTTCAGTCATTGGCACGCACGTCCGATTGTCCGCCGTCAGCCCGGTCTACGCGAGCACCGAGAATTCGAAACACGTTTGAGCACATACTCAAATGCCACCGATTGTGGATATAACCCAATCCGGTATATCATTACAGACGACGTAAGGCACGCATGCTAACACATTCACATCGAACAACGCGAAGCCCCAATAAGCTTTGCAGCACTGTCGCGCATGCGCTAGCTGGGGACAAACTTCAATAGCACACGCGACGAATTTACCATATGACTGCTGATCATGGGCATTATTCGGCCCGCTCTAACAGTAACTGCCGTCCTTCGGGCCGTTGCATATGTGCGAGATATGTCCCGGCGTGTAATTGCTGTCCGCGCTGGTGAGTGACATTACCGCGCACTGACACCGCAGTGGGACCGTTCCGAACCGCTCTCATCCCGTTCGCATAATTACAGCGATTTACGCCATCTAGATTCAGCAGCAAGAAAATTTTGCCACAAATAGATACCTAGGTCAGGGGCGATTCATACAGACAATACCGTGTGAGAGGCCGGTGATGTGCCACACAAAGCACGCGCCATCACACAAACCGATTTGCGTTTATTTGCAGAATACCCGAATGCCCATATTCCGGTTCTGCGCTGCGACCAACGCAGACATATCCAGCGCATTTATCGACAAGGTATTTGCGGCGAGCAATTGCCGTTTGTCGACGCGTATATAGATGACTTTGCTTGGTCGCATCAGACAACATGCAGGCAGCACGAGCAGGCATAGCGCTTGCCTGCTCTCACCGGGGGCTGA